CTGCCCAGTTATCAGGTGCGGGTGGCAACGTCATTCTTTCACGCTGGAATCTGTCTACAAATTCCCTGAGCAACTCTGAATCTCCTTGTTTTATTTTGAAAATATCTTCCATTCTTTTTTCGACTTTTTAAGCTCCCGAATGTGCTTTGATAAATGAATCTGCAAGCTCAGCAAAAGAATTTATAGAATTTTTGGGTAAAAGAGAATACCATGTTAATGCTCCCTTAGTGAGTGTTTTACCGAATTTTTTGACCAATACTGATTCAATTTCCTGTTTGGTCAAGCCGTTACCCTTTACACCAGTTGTGAATGCAATCACGTGGTCTCGTGGATCAGTTGTTCCATCGTATTTTGGAATATCGGGCATCTTGAATTTCTTAGGAATTGGGAGAGGAGCAGCGCTTGGCTTCCAAGGTTGTTGCGAATATTTGTCCATATCTACTCCCTTGATTACAGGCGGTACTCCAGGTATTTGCTCTATGCGGTCACTTTGCTCCTTGAGCTATTTCGGCAAAGTTAATACTAAATTTTGTAAATCAGAATTGACTATGTTACCTGGTTCTCCATCTCGAGACTCGCTGGGGGTTCCACTACTGCCCGAGTTAACAAGTCCAGAACGAGGGTTCTCCAAAGTGTTGTTATTTGGGGTTGGTGTTGGTGGTGCAACCGGCAATTGGTTAGTGAAAGCCTCAAGAGCCTTGCTGACCTGTTGAGCGATTAACTTCTACAAAGCTTCGTTGATAGCCTCATCGTTTTCCAATTGAGCATTTGCATTTGATTGAGATCCATCAAGAGTTCCTTCCCGAGATTGTCGAGGAGAGCTGGTGGGGAAGGGATTGGGGTACGATCATCTTGTGGATTCTCCTGGAGTTGATGGATTCTTTGGTTGTTCTCATTAACATTTGACATGGTTGATATGACAAAAAAGGTTAATTTAAGAAAGAATAGATTATCAGATTCCCGGTAACGGAACCAATTTGCTTAATCAAAAATAAGAATTTCGATCAAAGCTTATTTCAAGAAGAACTCGGATTACTGATAATCAAATAAAAATAGGAATAAATGATGTAAAAAATAGCTGAATAGAAAGCAAAGTAAATCAGTATATTCCAATAGTATTCCGTATCCCTACAAATGATCAGCTTTCCCCTTTTTATAGCTATCTCTAGGTAATACGTTTTGTTTCTGTCATAATAGAGCCATTATTGACAACCAATGGCATTTAATGTAACGTTATAAATGGTAATTATATTTTGATTTAGTACAGATTCCCTAACGTTTTCCGTAATTAATGCCTATTGATTACTGACAATACGTATCTATACCCTTTTTTGCTATCAGTTTCATTCTCTTAGCTCGATCTTCGATCATAAAGAGGTCCGAGCACTTATCTTTCTTGAATCTCTTGAATTCCTGCCCGTGCCTGTTGTAGCTCGTGCCTCTTTAACTATTCTTTGCCAATTGTCTTCCTTTGACCAGTCTACATGTCGTGACATGTCACTTTTCAATCAATTCTATATATGAACTTAATTTTTCCCAATACAATGTTCAGATTAGAAATTTAGTAGCACAACATCTACGTACTGTGTATAATGGTGTATGAACTTAGTATCATTATATCTTTTCGAAACCTTTTTTAAACTATGTATACCTATTTTTGAGTCAAAGATAATCGGTGCATCCTCATTTATTTTCAGTATATGAGTTGTATTTGACCTATAGCTTTCACCTATGTGCTCATTTCCTTGTACGTTGGAGGGGAATCGTGTTATGTATTGGATTAGTGCATCCCACATTGGCCTAAGTGACAGATGAAAATGGTTGAGAGATTCAGCGTAGTGCCATTGAGCTTTAAGTGACACATGAAAATGGTAGAGATTCAGCATAGTCCCTGTATACGGGTAAAACCGGAGGTAATGAGCACCCCGATTTCCTGGTGGACGGGATGAACGAAGTGAGGGCATAACTGCACGTAATCGAAATCGAAGCCTGGAGCCCGCTCGTATCAAAGCCCGGACAAAACACCTGTCCCCGGAGCCATCGAGACCATGCCCCCGAACCCGATTCAAATAATGAGACCTCGGAGAGCGTTGCCAAACGTCCGCACGCGATTAACAAAGGGCCGTCTTATCCGTGCCCGACCACATATCACGGAGTGAATCTCGGTATGTATTAGCACTTGACTAGTGATTTGCGAACGGGAAGATCTTTACCTTTTTTACAATTGTGCTTAGGATAAAACTCCCATACTATATAAAGGGGAGGTTTATTGTTCAATACAGGCTCTGTAACACGCATACCAAGGCAATAGACATCTGTTTTCTCTGTTTCTAAAAGTTATTCAAAGTTCTTGCTTTTGTTCATAAGTTCTTCATAAGTGTTGTCTCGGAAACGAAGGCAGGCTTCTTATCAAGCTTTTAACTCGAGCCCGGATTCATTATCATCATTGGTTTGGCTATTTACTCTATCTTTTATTTGCTTATCTAGTGTCACTAATCACTTGTATCGAATTAGTCCACATATCCTTAAAAACGCATATAAATTCAATTGTTATCCATTTTTAAGGGTAAACAGTGCGATTGAGCTTTAGTAGTATCTAACAAGTTGAAATCAGTTTTTTCTGTTTTTTCTTTTTGGGATTAATGTGATGAATCACATTTTGTTTTGTTTTCCTTAGGCAGTAGTAATGAAACCTGCATCTCAATAGCTATGGCGTGTCATCTATTGTTTTGATTTATCTGTGTTTCTCTCTTTTATTTAATAGACTAAACTTGCTAAGTCAATGTTGCTTCCTTGTGAAGCATATCTTATGTATCTTAGCTAACTCTATCTGAGCTTTCAGAGTAAATATAAAACTCATCTACCGCAAGGGAACCGAGGAACTTTATAGGGCAGATCTTCTACCTTTATTGAATAGTGCAATAAGATCAACATTTTCATCATTTTTAGGAACTTGTAAGTTTTCATACGTCACAAAAAAGATTATCAGTCACTACATACAATTTTAATGCGAACAACCTAATGAGAGAAAGCTCCTGTCGAACCGCTAACACCCCTAGATGTTGATTTTATTTGTATCATACTGATAGTGGTGCAAACTAGTTTAGTATTGAAAATATCACATCAAAGTTTAAACTTGTATAGTTAAATGAATTTACTCTTAAAAGTGGTGCAACTTATACAAATGAGGAAGTTTAATATTCTGATCACAAAATGTAAAATTTATTCCTTAGGATTTCTTGCTATCTACAGGTCAAAAGTGTGTAACCTGATACAACAATGGCATTCCAAAAACATATAGGAACACAAAATGTGCTTTCATCTATTGAAGAAGATATTATCAGATATTGGCAAATGTCTGGATGCATTAATAACTCGGAAATTCAAAACATGACAGCATTTTGGAGAATATCAGTGAACGATCAAACGAGTATCCTTGTAAAACCTGGGAATATTTTTCTGCCAGATACACCTAGTTTCCCAGCGATAACCAAAGTGAGGTTTCACAGGCTTTTCAAGCATGTAACGAAAGATCAAAGAAGAAACTAGAATGAGGAAAGTCAGGGACTACTTAGGTTGTTCCAGCAAACTTCTAGCAAATCTGGTCATGCAAATCGCATATCTGTTTAGATCAAAACTTAACTTTTAGGACATTTCATAGAACATTCGATGCAAGTCATGCTTCCGTGCTGCAAATACAAGGAATCACAACCTCAAGAGATTTAGTGTTTTGAACAAGATAAGCAAAAAGGCCTAACAACAACATTACCAGAGATTTAGTTTAAGCACAGCAAAGACAACCATGTAGTTAAGTATTTCCAAACAGCAAAATGTGTCTGAAAGTCAAAGCATGGCAGCCTGAATCCTTAGAGGATATCCACAACTTTGCTACTCCAAAAGTTTACCATCTACTGCCTTCTCAAACCAAGAATCACTTCTAAAATTAAAATTTATTAAAACACTTTGTGATTCTAATGTATAAGCTAAATAACTTGCTCTCATCCATTGCTATTGAAACATATATCAATCACCATGCATCAGCAAGACAGCAACTACTTTAAAAATAATAAATAAAAAAAGAAACTACCTCCAGCATAAGAAAAGCGACGATTGTTGTCCCCCAAAGTTTGATTGAGATTAGCAGAAATCAGCTAGACAACATGATTTTATACTATATTCAATCCTTAACAGACATCTGATAACACTGGTATGGATCCTATACCATTCTTTTAGGATCTTTACATCTAAATACACCGGTATAACAAGCTAAACTTCAAATATCAATAGTTCTTGACAGCTACGACCTTAGAGTATCTCTAAGTATAGAACACCATACTCATTTTATTAGACTTAAGTCGACCTACTTAAAGAGGCTGTAGCAACTCCAGATGCTATTTTAACAAGACAGTGGGCCTTATATTTCAAGAGTACTGTGACCAAGTTCCTAATGTGTTTGTTTAATGCAAAAGTTAATCTGTGCTACAGATATTAAATCTGGAAGTTCTCTACTCTGTGATCAATCCAGTCTTTCCAAAGCATAGTTCCAAAGTCATACCTACAGCATTTTCATAGGAGTTTACTCAACTCCTGTCAACCAACTAAGCCTCATGTCTCCAAATTTCATTTGCTTTACCAACAATACCAAGCTGGTAGCTTCTGTAATTCCCTCACATGATTCAATCATTTTAAATTCAAGAAGCACCAGAATATCTTACAATCTAATGAAAGAACATCATATTTGAGACTAGCAAATTAGAAGGCCTAAGCAATTAATGTCGAAGTCAACATTATATAACACAAGCAAATTTACCTCACATAATTCAAGCTTGCTCTCCATAACAAGCACTAAAGTACAAGGATTTTAATAATGAAAACCTTATTCAAGACTTAGAAAGTAGAACACACAGGCAAAAACCACGTTCAAGACTTACATACTAGAACACATAAGCAAATGATGTCCCTATAGTAATAGAGATCCAGCATCATGCAGAGACTTGCCATTGATAGGGGGGGAAAATAAGCTTGTTATCACAAATACTAACATAAGAGATCAAAATCTCATTTGCAAGTACAAAAGAAAAGAACTAGAATCACTAATATTTCAGCAAAGCAAATGATTATTTAGCAACTGTCATAGCACTCTTAACCATCTATATTAGTTTCTAAAAAGCAACTATATAGGAAACGAAAGATACAAACCTAAGCTAAAATCAACAGAATTACATGTCTAAAGCCTCATGGTTCAACTGTATTACCAAGCACAAAAGAAAACACTTCACGTACTGGAGGATACTCGACAAGTGCAATCTCCATAGCATATCCAGCAACAGGTAATTTCAGATCCCTCAAAACAGTGAATGCCTCGCCCATACGTGTTTTAGGAACTTCTTCAGCTACAGGGCAATAAGGAATCCATGTATCAGGACGATGCTCCTCCCTAATTTCAATTCCCTCCTTTTTCATTGCTTCAAACAACTGTGAGTGGAACTGAAGGAGAGACAAAGTTGGAGTTGGAGCAAGAAACAGAACGTTGTCGCCATTTGGGAGGCTTCCAATTGAACCAAAGGACAGAGGCAAAGATTCTTGCTTGGACGAAAAACTCTTTACAACGTTCTCAAGCTTCAATGGATCAATATAGGGACTAGAGAAGAGGGTAATGTGAGGTCTAGACTCAATCTCAATAAGCTGAGTGCTAATCTGGCGCCGAGCCAATACATTCCAAGCCTTCAGGACCTGGTTTTCCAATGCAGGATCAAAGTAGAGCTCAATGGCGTAGCCTTGCGACATTGCCTCTATCAAGGTTCGAACAAACACAAAAATAAATCAAGAAATCACCAAAATAAATAGAATCACAAACTTTCACAAATGACCCTGAAATCCGCACCAACTTTTATACTCAATCTAGCCTACTACCAGTAAAGCCAAATCCCAAATGCTAAGTCCAACCAAAAACCAGCAACAGTGATCATCTCAATGGTACATTATAAGCAGAATTAAAGAACATAAACATTAAAGAAAACCCACAAAAAATATCACTTAAAAGTAAAGTAAAATATCAAATAAAGATAAATTGGGATCTCGTGCAGAACAAGCAATAATGAAGAGAAATACACTAAAATAAATGCACAAAAAAGAATCATGGAACTCAATAATTTCAGGGGGGAAATTGAAACCCTAAAGAATTCACAGAATAAGCAAAAAATTTAAGGCATACCCAGTTGAGGAAAGAGGCAAACAAGGCACAATGGCTTGCAATGCAACCCAATTTAGGGAAATAGTGAACAAATGAATCGTCCTCCAAACAGTAGCAGAAATATAAAGAGGGGGACAAAAGGGGTTAAAGAAGAGGTTTTTGGGGAAATGGGGAACAATTTTTCTTGAAAAAATTTGGCCAAGAAATAGCTTAGGCTACAACTCACTTAAGAAAGAACTCACCGACTTTGTCTCATCTAGTTCCCCTTTAGTCAATGGAGATTCGGAGAAGGTGAAAATTAGTTTAACTAAGGATAAAAAGGAGAATATTTTTGGTGGTAAAACATATGCTACCAACCCAAAGAAATAAAGTAAATGATAAGTAAAGAAAGATATAATCTTACCGTAAAGTAGTGAAGGAAAATCGATCTTAAAACTTAATTCAAAATAATGACAAATATCTGCCCTCTCTATACTCTAACTAATAGCCAAGGAATAAATAAATAAATAAACTGTTGCAATCGCGTTATTACCAGCTCACTTTGTTCTCTCTTTTTTTATAATTGCGCATAACCAAGAGAAGAAACCGCTAGTTGATAAAGAAAAAAAAAACTAAGTATTCAATTTCAAAGTTTCTAACACCTTTTTGTTGGGCAACAATAACATACTCCAATATATTTTTATAAGTAGTGTTTAGGGAAAATAATGTATATACAAACCTTACCTTTATTTTATCCAAATAGAAAGGCTATTTCCAAATGACATTCACGTAAGCACTCAACACCTCTTTGTTATCTTTTTTTTATTTTCTTCCATTTTTCTGATAGTCTTTGATAGACTTTAATGCACCAAGAATTTTGACGTCAAATTAAAACTTGTACATGTTCCCACTTTGAGGCACCGTTTGTCCATAGTTTTTTTTTTTGGAATTTTTTTTCAAAATTTATCTGTCCATGAAATTTTGTATGTTATTAACGATTTTTCGAAAAATAAGTATTTCAAAAACCAAAAAAGTTCAAGTTTTTCGTAAAAAACTTTTTTTCCCCACTCACAAAATTGTAATTTTTTCAAATAAAATTCATGTATAAACATAATTTCAAATTCAAAATACCATTTTTTAAATTAACTTTAAATATTACGTTTTTTTCTAATATTATAATTTTTATGTCCAAAAGCCTACTGAGAGTCACTTTTAAACGAATGTGTCATTGACCACTCTCTTTTTGCATTAAATCAACCATTTGTTGCCCCTTCCGTGATAACCAAAAAATTTATCGTTTCCAACTTTGAAACACAGATGAATAATGAATCTACGAAATAGGGTTATTCATGGAATAAGGCAAAATTGGGCTAATAGGTGACCTAGCATGCCACCTCATGCAGCGCGCTAGTACTGCAACTCAGCTGGTTTTGCTGATCTTTTTTCTTCGAATACTTCTCTCGGCACCTCGAAATTCACCCGAGCCTCATGAGATCCTCCAAACTATCTTGACTATCCAAATATCCTGTATGGACTTATCAAAGGGCTCAAAGCAACAAAGCGAAGTGCCACAAACTCAAAACAAAATCTTAAGTTCCCTTATGGCCTTAAAAACCTTAGAACTCCAACTTTCATGCAATAGTGCCGAAAATGTCCCGAGCCTCCCAGGTTCTATACCGAGCATCGTGGCAAGTCTTAAAACACCAAACATATTTGAAGTTGGTAGAAAAATACTTTTGATATCTCAAAAAGAAATATTCTAAAACTACGTCTAGATTCATTTTCTTACTATTATATTAATGAGTCATTATAGTAGTAATTATTTTAAAAATATTTGTAACAGAAAATTTATTAATTTTGAATTCAATTTGGGACAAAATAAATTAGACAATTGAATTCTCATGGATTTGTACGTTATTGAAAAGTCAATAACGTTAGTATTGAAAAATAAATGACTAATCTTAATGGCTTTAAGACTAAACGTATAGTCTTTATGGTTGAATGTTTCTGATGGTTTGTTTTCGTTGAATAGCCTCTAATATGGAATAGAGAGTCTACTTCTGTTTAGTATGTATGTACTTCTTCGTCTTCATAACAAAAAGTAGTGAAAAAACAAAGTTAAACACTTTTCTTTCCTTTTCTTTTGTGCTGGATTTTCTTCTCGTTAATCTTTGTTGTTTCTGCTCCTAGTTATACTAGAAGAGCTTGTTGAATCCTGGGGGATACGCCTAATTTTATTCATCACGGTGTGGGCGAAATATCCTTAAGGATAGTGTCTTTGACACGCCTCAAGCTAAACCTTTTATTCTCCATAATCATCCAATTTTTTCCAACAATCTTAAGGATATTTACATGTTGTTATTATGGAGAATAACGCTGCTAATGTTGTTGTTGTTGCTACTACACCCGCTGCGCCTACTATTTCTGTTGATGTTTGATAATAGGTGAATTTAACTATAATCACGCCTTAAGTAACCACCTTCTTGTATAGTTTTGATGATAAAAGTGATAACAAAATGCTCTTATTAGTGCTTTTCATGATGTGCAGGTGATATATGACCAGGGAAGGCTAGGGAGTACTTTTGGAGTCAAAAATGAAGAAAAAGAGGCCAATTGTGAAATTCCCCAAGTAAACCACGCAAAACAGGCCTGAAGATTCAGAGAACTGGGTTGACCGCGGTTCCACCGCGATCGCGGTAGAACCGCGGTGGAAGAGAGCTGCGGATAAATTCAGTTTCAGAGAAGGCATTTGGCCGCGGTTTGACCGCGACCGCGGCAGAACCGCAGCGGAAGCAGAAAACTTCAGGGACTAAAGTATAAAACACGGGATTTTTAGACCTAAACCCTATTTTAAATACAAGACTTCGCCCAAGAGAGGCATGTATTGAATTTTAGAGTATCTTGGCAAGGAAAA